GAAAAAAAAGAGAGATCGGGAGAGAGAGGATCTCGCTCTGTCACCCAGGCTAGAGTGCAGTGGCATGATCATAAGTCACTGTAGCCTTGAACTCCTGGGCACAAGTAATCCTCTTGCCTCAGCCTCCTGAGTAACTGCTACTACAGGTACATGCTACCACACCCCGCTAATTTTTACATTTTTTATAGAGGTGGGCTCTCGCTTTGTTGCCCAGACTGTTACGGAACTCCTGGGCTCAAGTGATCCTCCCAGCTTTGCCTCCCACAGTGCTGAGATTATAGATGTGAGTCTATAATTACAGACAGCTTGGCCTATTTACCTATTAGAAATGAAGAATTAGGAATTTTACATTTCTTTAAGAAAAGTTATGGAAGAGTCTACTGACTTTTTTTTTCATTGGATTTTTTCTTTTTAAATAGGTTGCTGGTCAAATTCCCTGAGTTAAATTATCAACTTAAAATTAAAGTGTGCATTGACAAGTAAGTACTTCTATCTTAGCTCTTTTTTTCAAATGAGGAATGGAAAAATGAGTACTTTGACAGACATCATTTGAACTAGAGACTCTGTCTTTATTCAGAGATCTTCATTTTGTGTACAAAAGTTTTCAAAAGGCTTGGGGTGCATTGTCATTTGTGTGCCTGAACAAAGCCACAAAGCTGGGGGTACAGATTTGATTTATGGTTGCTATTGTGACTACCAGTCCCTCTTTTTCTTTATTTAGTTTTTTACTTGTACATGTCATTCATGCATGTTATATATAAGACTGAGATTATGTGTTAATTAATGACTAGGATACATTCTGCAAAATGTATCGTTAGGCAATTTTGTTGTGCAACCATTGTAGAGTATATAGTCCTTACACAAACCTGGGTGGCAGAGCCTACTGCCCACCTATGCTATGTAGCAGAGCCTGCTGGTCATAGGCTGCAAACCTGTACAGTATGTTACTGTGCTGAATACCATAGGCAATTGTAACACATCTCAATGAAGAAGGAGTTTTTCAGCTCCATTATAATCTTATGGGACCACCTTCATATATGCAGTTTGTTGTTGACTGAAACGTTGTTATATATTCTTTCCATACATAGCATGTGGAAAGAATAGATCTCTTTTTTTTTTAATTGTTCCGCACTTTACCATATATTGGAATACTCAAAATTTCATAATACCTTTCAGGATGTAAAATACACATACCCTTTGAAGACATTAGAAAGATAAAATGTGGCCGGGCACGGTGGCTCACACCTGTAATCCCAGCACTTTGGGAGGCTGAGGCGGGCGGATCACCTGAGGTCGAGAGTTCGAGACCAGCCTGACCAACATGGAGAAACCTTGTCTCTACTAAAAATACAAAATTAGCCGGGTGTGGTGGCGCATGCCTGTAATCCCAGCTACTCGGGAGGCTGAGGCAGGAGAATCGCTTGAACTCAGGAGGTGGAGGTTGCGGTGAGCCGAGATCACGCCATGCACTCCAGCCTGGGCAACAAGAGCAAAACTCTGTCTCAAAAAAAAAAAAGAAAGAAAAGAGAAAATGCATACTTATTTTTAGTTGATATAATTATCTGGAAATTTCATGAGAATGCACTGGAAAATAATGAAATCAGGGAGTTGATGAAGGTGATAGGTTTAATAAGTACATATGCAATATGAAACATAGGTCCCCCCCCTTCCTATGGGGAGGCAACCAACTGTGCCTACTACACAAAGGTGTTACGTTTTTTAAAGAAATGCCCAGGAGCACAGAGGTTTTTTCATGAGAGTAAATAACAGGTGGTCAAAGTAGGCTTTTTGAAGAAATACGGAGCCTGTTTTGTTAACAATGGTCTGTGTTCTTACAGAGACTCTGGGGATGTTGCAGCTCTCAGAGGGTAAGTTCAGCCTAGAGGCTTCCTTTTGTTCCATTTAACCTAACTTCATCCTCTGGCTACTCGGTCGCCTACATAGTTGATTGTTCTCCTGTGATTCAGATCCCGGAAATTTAACATTCTGGGCACAAACACCAAAGTGATGAACATGGAAGAGTCCAACAACGGCAGCCTCTCTGCAGAATTCAAACACTTGGTATGTGGGAGGAGCTCGCCTTCACAAAGGGCCTCTGGCTGAGGGAGTGGGCTGGGGAGAGCCTCACAGGACACCTGGCTTTTTCTTTTCTTACAGACCCTGAGGGAGCAGAGATGTGGGAATGGGGGCCGAGCCAATTGTGATGTAAGTTTTGTTGGGGATGAAAGACAACTGGGGTGTTTTCCTTGAGGGAGAAAGGGGTAAAGATCCTTCTTAATCCCCAGAATTAGAAACATCAACCTGTTCTTTCAGCTGTAGTTATTCCAGAAAGTCCGTGCAGGCCAGAGTGACATGAACAGAAGTTCCATGTGCCATGAAGCTCTCTGGCTTGGAACATTTCCATGAATGTCTGAGAGTTGGCTCCTCCTTAAGGAGAAGTGGAAAGTCCCTAGCTGAGTTGTTCTCCACACCCATGTGTTATAAAGTAGCTTTTCACCTTGCCCGGGGCTTTCCAAATTCCCCATCCAGCTCCTGGGGCTGACCCTGCTTGGCTCTGTTTTTAGTGCCCTGTTTTTCTCTCCCACTGAGGTGGGATAGAGGGTGTAAAATCAACAGATCTGAGTTAAACTTTAAAATAAATGACCACCTTGTGTTAGCTTGCTTAGGAAAAGAGTAAATAAAATAAAACAAACAAACAAAAACCCATCTTGTTTTTTATCCCCCTTATTTTCTGCTTTTCATTGATTCAGATTATTGGCTTCTTATTGTCAAGAATAAACTTTTAAAAAACAAACAAAAAAAGGTAAATGTGACTGAAAGCTAGTTTTTAATCATTTTTAAAAGTTGTGATGTCCTGTTGTTTTTCTCACATTTGTCCCCTGAACAATTCTTCCTCTTTAAAATGTAGCAGTTCTAACTGGGCATGCTGGCTCACACCTGTAATCCCAGCAGCACTTTGGGAGGCCAAGGCAGGCTGGTCACTTGAGGTCAGGAGTTCGAGACCAGCCTGGCCAACATGGTTAAACCCCGGCTCAACTAAAGATACAAAAATTAGCTGGGTGCGGTGGTGCGCACCTGTAGTCCCAGCTACCAGGGAGACTGAGGCACAAGAATGACTTGAACCCAGGAGGTGGAGGTTGCAGTGAGCCGAGATTTTGCCACTGCGCTCTAGCCTGGGCAACAGAGTGAAACTCTGTCTCTAAAATAAAATAAAATGAAATAAAATAAGATAGCAATCCTTTTAAAAAATGTGGAATTTTACTTGACAGTAGAGTGAAGTAACCTGTATGCAATGATACAGGAAAATGTGCATGACATGTTTAGAAAAAGCAAAATGTAAAATAATTTGAATAGTATATTAGTATATGTGTTTTAAAAATACACTAAACTCTCATGTGTATTCATATGTATATTAAGAAATTCTGGAGGAATATGCACCCAACAGTGCTATGTATTAGTGCTGCTGTTTGTGTCCATGGCTATTCTAGACTGTCTCTGTGATATTTGCATTTTAAACTGAATACATTACTTTTATAATTAGAAAAAGAGTATTAAAAATGAATTAGAATTCAATTTCTTTTTTCTTTTTTTTTTGAGTCGGATTCTTAGTCTATTGCCTAGGCTGGAGTGCAGTGGTATGATCTCAGCTCACTGCAACCTCCGCCTCCTGGGTTCAAGCAGTTCTCCTGCCTTAGCTTCCCGAATAGCTGGGACTACAGGCACGCGCCACCATGCCCGGCTAATTTTTGCATTTTTAGTAGAGACAGGGTTTCACTATATTGGCCAGGCTGGTCTTGAACTCCTGACCTCATGATCCACCCATCTCAGCCTCTGAAAGTGCTGGGATTACAGGCATGAGCCACTGTGCCCCGCCTAGAATTCAATTTCTGAGAATTCATTGACAACTCTTATTTAAAATAAGGTTGCTGTACTGATGTGAGACATTGTTATAGTCAGTTTGGAAAACAATTTGGCGGTATAAAAATGAACATACCCTGTAAACCAACAGTGCCATTCCCAGGATTTAATAGCAGAGAAATATTTGCATATATGTCCCAGGAGACATGTATAAAGTGGAAATCAGCCTGATTCTAAGCTCT